TTATAAAGTGCAAATTTGGAAATTTTAAAACTTTTATCCTTAACTACGTCGATAATGAGTATTTTTTTATTATTTTACTGTAAGGGGCCTCAAAAAAAAATTTGCCCCGGGCATCCAAAAGTCTAAATCCGGCCCTGATCACGACTTTTTCTTGACAATCTCAAAACATTTGGTATAGATACACAATATCTCCGGGGTCAGGGATATGATGTTGCAGCAGCAATAGCCGGGAAGTTTAATGGAGTACAAGCTTATGTAAAAATAAAACATCCTTTAGCTGTATACGTACATTGCTCTGCACATTCCTTAAATCTTGCTGTATCGGTATCTTGTTATGCTTCTCAAATACGCAATTGCATGGGGACAGTAGGAAAATTGAGAGACTTTTTTGTGTTTCTAAAAAGATAATCTGTGCTGTCAGAAGTTATTGAAAATACAGAAAATAATATTTCTAAAAAGTCGTTAAAAAAAACTGTGAAACTAGATGGATCGAACGATATCATTCAATTAGTGATTTTTTAGAACTTTTTGAGTGTGTACTAGATGCCCTTGACGAAATTTGTGAGTGGGATAATGCAGACACGTCGAATCAAGCATGGGCATTCCAAATTACAATCCTCCAACCGGAATTCATAATTACGTTAGTTACTATTTCCAAAGTATTTGGATTAGGACTTCCACTGTCAAAACAGTTTCAAAAAATTGATATTGATTTAAAATTAGCTATGGATTTAACTCAAGATACTTTGACCGAGTTGGAGGATTATAGAAAGTACGCACAGAAAAATTTTAAAGAAATTTTTTCAGCTGCCGAGAAAATTGCTGACAAATTTAATGTGACAATGAGTATTTTAAGAATTAGTAAAAAACAAGTACATAGAATAAATGTGCAAACTAATAATCCTGAAGACTATTTTCGCATATCAGTTTTTATTCCATTCTTAGACTCTTTTATAAGTCAATTTAAGTTTAGATTTCTTGATCATGTTGTTATTTTATCAAGTTTTCACTGTCTATTTGACGAAATTTCTACAATAGAAGAATTTAAAAAATTGGCTGAATTTTACGAAGAAGTCTTAAACGGTAATAATTCGTTAGTAGATGAATTCCAATTATGTCAGAGGAAACTTAAAAAATTGGAAATTAAACCAAAGAATTCTATCGATGCACTAAAGTTGTGTAATGCAGATATATATCCAGACATAAATAAATTATTTCAAATTTTGCTACGCTTCCTATATCTTCAGCATCAAATTTTTTCATCTCTCAAAAGAATCAAAACATATCTACGAAATACAATATCTGAGGTAATAAAATGTTATAAAGAAATTTTAAT